CACCCTGTCTGTCCGTCCTCACCCTCACCCTGTCTGTCACTCTGTCCGTCCTCACCCTGTCCGTCCTCACCCGTCCTTACCTACACTCTAGCTGCAGAATCCCCTCTTTGTGGTGACATGAACTGACAGCTGTGTTCTCGGTCCCTCTGCTGAACTCCAAGCTGATGTCTCATTGCCATGGTCTTGCCTTGGTTTCTGGGTCCCGTCTCCGTGGAAGGCTCCCACATGGACCCCGAACCTAGGCCTGAATCCTGCCCTTCCCCCAGCTTTCCCCACACAGGAAACCACAGCTGCCTGTCACCAATTGCACCCGCCCCAAATCTCAGGCTTGCCCTCAATGCCCTCAACCAATCCATCCCAATATCCTGTCTTCCAACTTTGGAATGAAGCTGGCCCTAGTGGCCTACATCTTTAATCCCAGCACCTGACAGGTAGAGGCAGGCGGATCTCTGTGAGTTTGGGGCCAGCCTGATCTACAAGAGTGAGTTCCAGGACAGGCTCCAAAGCTAAAAAAGGTTTAAATAACACAATAGCCACTGGTAGGAGAACAGACATTTCTGTGTGTTAAACTTCTGTATCTGGCCTTGGGACAGGTGCTCACATTTGATTTTGCACAGTCCTGTAAAGATTTCACAGATGAGGAAACTGAGTCTCGGGGCCAGTATGTAACTTGTGGAAAGGCTCCAGTTCCTGCCCCAAACAGAGTCCCTTCCCAGAGTGCCTTGGTATTGGCCTCCTGCCCCTCCCTAAGACTTTCCTCCCTACCCCAGCTCTATGCCTTGTCTCTTCTTGCTCTGCCCTGGTCACTTGACTCAGCCCCACTCGGGGATCTGCCTGGGAGGCCTGGATGGACTTCTTCATCACACATCTCCCCGGACAGCCCGCAGCTCCGAACACAGGACGGGGGTAGGCACAACTCCTCAGGCCTTGAGAAATTCAAGGGCTTTAATGATAATCATCCCTGTCTGCAGCAGGCAGGAGCTCCCACAGTGATGGCCCGTCATTACTCGTGCAGCATGAATGCCTACTGTGTGCCAAGCATGCCCCACAAACCGGGGACAGGACAGTGACAGGACAGAGTCACCAGCGTCCGTTCTGGGTGAAGGAAGCAGACATAAACGAGAGAGAGAGAGAGAGAGAGAGAGAGAGAGAGAGAGAGAAGTGAAACATGTAAAATATTAGGTGGTGATGTTTGCTAAAGGAAGTAAGAGAAGGAATAAAAGTGAGAAGAGGCACCGTGAACGAGGGAGGGAAGGAGAAAAGGAAAAGTGAGGTATGAACACAGCCTTCACTGTGCACTGTCTCTCTCTCTCTCTCTCTCTCTCTCTCTCTCTCTCTCTCTCTC